GTGTCCCAGGAGATCCTGCGCGAGGTCCAGCGCCTGGGGCAGCTGCAGGCCAGCTGGCTCTGACCGCGCCCCCGGCGGGCCGCCGCGCGCGACGGACCCCGCCTGCCGCGCTGCTCCCTTTTGGAGAGCCCGGCAGAAGGCCATCACATCGCCCTTGCTGGTGCCGCCGCCGCTCGCCAGGAAGCCGGCGCCGAGGAAGGAAAAGCGTCATAAGCATACAAGTTTTGGCTGCTCCCTTTTGGAGAGCCCGGCAGAAGGCCATCACATCGCCCTTGCTGGTGCCGCCACCGCTCGCCAGGAAGCCGGCGCCGAGGAAGAAGAAAAACGTCATAAACCTACACATTTTTGGCGCTCTGTGCGGATTTCTTGTGGATCCGCGCTGGGGGCCCCCCGGCGGCGCCTCCGGCGCCGCCCATGGCGCGCTCCGCGCACCGAGGGGGGGGGGCCCAGGCGCGGATCCGAGAAAATCGCACGGAGCGCCAAAAGTTTATGTTTATTGTGTTTTTTCTTATTCTAAGGCGGGTCCCGAGAAAAGGGATCGGGCCTGGCGAAAGGGGGGGATTGGGAAAGGGGGGGTTACGAAATTTGCTGCATGCAGCTGGTTTCGGCCTCACCGAGGGGCCCATTCCTCGATACATAGCCGCCTCCGGCGTTGGGAGGCGCCGGGAAAATCAGCTACGTGAGCTGATTCTCAAACCCCCTCTTTGCTAATTATCCCCCCTTTCGCCCAACCCGAAGGGAGTCCTGAGGTGGTTCGCCGTTTTCGGGCTCCCGGGGCCGTTCCCGCGCCCCCAGGCCCTCGAGCAAGCATTCAGGGAGAGCTGAGCTGGTCCAAGGGGAATGCCCCAGGGCCCAGAAACCCGTTTCCCTCAGGACCCATGTTTTGCATACCAACACCGCCGCAGCAGCGAATTACCGTCTTCGTGCTGCTGCTGGCCTCCCCCCCGCCGTGCCTGGCGGTGTTGCTGCTTTGTCCCGCTCGTGGCGTTTTGCCTGGTGGTGCTGCTCCTCCAGCCCACGCTTCTGCAACGCATCCTCTCTGCCCCCATCCAACTCAGGAGCGTGACTGTTGTCATTCGCTCCACCTCCTCCTCCCTCCCGCCTCTCCTTTGTCTTCGCCCTCCCTCTACTCGTCCCCCCCCCCCTCCCTCTTCCTCTCCTTGCCCTTTGTCTCGAGAAGGGCGCGGACCCCGGGTTCTCATTCAGTGTGGTGAATGCTTGACGCCTCGCGTATCCCCACCAGCCAGCGCCCTTTCCTGAGCGGCAGCGAGGCTCGCCTCCTGTTTGTTCCTCTCCCCGCTCTCCTGTTTTTCTTTCTTGTCCTCTCGGTGCGCGTAATTCAGGCCGCCGCTTGCTCGTTGCGCCATTGACGCCGCCCGAGTTCTCTCGATGCGGTCGCGATTAGAAAATATCCCCACCAGCCCATCCAGAAACGGATCGCCAGGCGAGTTGCCTTAACCAGGGAAGTGTAAGAGCATTCGGTGCAACAACCGTCTTGGAAGTGCTTTCTGGGAGGTCTCTTTCAGCCATCCTGGGTCTCACTTGGGGTCATCGCGGAGCCACTTGGGGCACTTTTGGGGCCTTCTTGGGGCTCTCTTGGGCGCCCAGGCAAGGAAAGGTGCGCTCAGTCAGCTTACCGGATGATCATGGCCATGTCGTCCGACATCGCTGAGGGACTATTCATCCTCAAGATCCATCGGAAGGGATCCCCCAAGCCAGGAGAGGAGAGCAGGGAACAAGCTCGATCGTCGGGGAATGCGGAATACCTGACGAAATACTCGGGGTCTCCCTGCGGGGACACGAAACGTGTGAGGGATGTGCCCAAACGGGTGGGAAACGCGTGCGGACCTTGCCACGAGCCTTCGACGGAACTACATGTGGGGCCACGAAACGTGTAAGGGGTGTGCCGACAGGGGCAGGGAGACGCATGCGAACCCTGCCACAGGAACCTTCGGTGGAGCTTCCTGTGGGGCCACGAAGCGTGTGAGGGATGTGCCGACATGGTCGGGTGGAACCGTGCGAGCCTTGCCACACAAGCCTTTGGAGGAATCTCCCTGCAGGGTCACGAAGCGTGTGAGGTGTGTGCCAAAATGGGTGGGGATACGCGTGCGAACCTTACCGCGAGCCTTCGGTGGATTTTCCTGTTGGGCTACGAAGCATGTGCGGGGTGTGCCGACATGGGCGGGGGACGCGTGCGAACCTTGCCTAAAGAGTCTTCAGTGGAGTTCCTTGTTGGGCCACGAAACGTCTGAGAGGCTACGTGTGAGCGCCTTCGGTAGAGCTCCTTGGTAGGCTACGTGCAGGGTTTGCACCGACGTGGGCATGCGGACGGCACAGGAAGGAGGAGGGGTAGGAGGAACAAAAATGAGGTGGAGAGCGGCGCCGTCTTTCCAACAAGAGGACCCGACACGACAGGATTATTACAAAGGCCCCGAACAGGTCCTCTTGGGGTTTCCGTGGGATTTACTCAAAGCATGTTCGGGGTCCTCGGCAAGCTTATCATGGGGGACGTGAATGCACGAGTTGGGCATGCAGATGCCGGGGAATCGACGACAATAGGGCCATTCACTTGGGGTAGGCGGGCCTTACATCAGGTCGAAGTTCCCAATCGGGATTTGCTCATGGAGTTTTGCTTTGGCCTCGAACTAAGATTGGCAAATACCTATTTTGAACGGCCTCTGGAAGACGCCGTTACCTTCATGGAGGCGGGCGCCAAACCACTGGGGCCTATTACCGAGGACAAATACAACATATTGGATTACATCATGTGCGATGCTCCCACCTTGGCCCACATACGTAATTTGAAAACACACCGCGGCGCAGCACTGGCCACGGACCACTACTTGATGACAGTGGACATTCAGCACGCTCAGCATGGCGATCCATTGCCGCGCAAACCGCCTAGAGACAGAGATCTGCTTCGAGACCCCGCAGTGCAATTAATGTATGCAGAAGCATTGATGGACGAGATTGTTGGCCACGCGAGTCCCCAGAACGTGGACGCTTTGTGGGAGCAGGGTGCACATGCAGCGCTAGTAGCCGCCACTGTTTTACCACGCCGCCAGGAAGAAGTAAAACGGCCATGGTATCTCAACGCACATTGGCACTGATACAACAAAGAAGCGAAGCTCGTGCCAGTAACAATCGTCAAGAAGAGCGGCGCTTGCTGAAAGAAGTAAGGCGATCTTGCAAAATCGATAAGACAGAGTGGATGAACTCAAACATAGCATCGGGGCGTCGGGACGATATTCGGAGATTTTGCCGACCACGACAACATAAGCAGGGCAGGCTTCAAAATTTACAGGGGCAGCTGGTGGCAAGCCATGAGCGCGCAGATACCATGGCAACTTATTTGGAGCAAGTGCAATGGAAAGTACGGCCGGCAAATTTGGTTGACAACGAGGCCTTGGGACCGCCACTTCCCGTCGACGAGTCGGCTTTCACCGTGCAGGAAGGGGGGAAAGCAGTGCGGAAACTCAAATGGGGAATGGCAGCAGGACCGGACGACGTTCCCGCATAATATTGGAAAGCCATATCACAAACTCCTGGCGGGCTAAAGTGGGTGACAGAATTATGCAATTCAACATGGGCGGAGCACAGAGTTCCCGAAGCATGGCGGCATGCCACTGTGAGCACGATCTACAAGAACAAGGGCCCTATCCACATGTGTGAAAATTACCGGCCAATTAGTTTACTATGCGTGGCGTACAAACTCCTGGCCAACCTCCTCCTGCAACGTCTACAAAAGGCAGGGGCAGAAGACCGGCTGACCCAAACTCAATGCGGGTTCCGCCGTGGGCGTGGTACAACAAACGCCGTTCACGCAGTACGTCGTCATATCGAGCTCGCGCACGCCAGGAAAGATGGTGGGACTACATTTGTTGCCCTGGATTGGAAAAAAAACATTTGATTCCATAAACGTCGAAGCATTGTTGCCAGCTCTGGGCCGCTTTGGGGTACCTCTGAACATGCTCACGCTGATTGGAAATATTTATGAGGCCAGGCGACTTTGTGTAGCGACGGGGCCATCAAATCGTCCGAAAGAAAACAAATGTCTGGAATATCACAGGGGTGTCCGTTGTCGCCTTTTCTTTTCGTCATGTTGATGACTGTGGTCCTGCGAGACGCCGTGACCAACCTGAGCGACAATGACAAGTTCGATATGGTTTCTGGAAGTCACTCGGTGCTGCTGTATGCCGACGACACGCTGCTTATCGGAAGAAGCCAAGCCAGCTTACAAAACCTCCTAGACAACATCGCTTTGGCGGGGGTGCGGGTTGGAGTGGAGCTGCACTGGGACAAATTCCAGATGATCAAGATAAACAGCGACGTGACGTTGAAGACGCCGGCGGGGCAACTCATTGCCGAAAAACGAAGCATTACATATTTGGGTGCTACTTTGTACAGTAATGGGCAGTTGGGTACCGAGCTAATCAAAAGAATAGGGACAGCTTGGGCCGAATTTTCCAAGTATGACAGAGCATGGAACACGCACTGCTTTGAGCAACCAGCGAAAACTGGATCTATTCCAAGCACTGGTCACATCCAAAATCATGTACTCACTAAACACGGCGTGGTTAAATAAAGCAGGAAGGCGAAGGCTGGATGGATTTCAAGCAAGATGCCTGCGACGAATACTACATATACCTCCCGCCTTTATTACGCGAGTACCGAATAGCAAAGTTCTGGAACAAGCCGGCCAAAAGCAGTACAGCGCGCAACTTCTTCAACAACAACTATTACGATGTGGCAAAATTGGCCGGGCTCCAGATGCAGACTTTCTTCGGCAACTTACTTTTCAACCCGGCACTGTTCTTTCAGCCGTGGATGCATGCCCGAGGAGGAGAGGCAGGCCCAAACACGAATGGGCGAAATGCCTACACGAGGCTTTGGTTGCTCATCTTGGCCCGGAACATACTTGGGCGCAGCGCCTGCGGGACCCCATCGAATGGCGAAGTATTTCTGCACACATTGCACACCATGATGATGAACCCGATCGCCAGTAGCATTATGTAGCTTGTACATACCTTGCATGTGATGCCTGGTGCCTTAGAGTCCTTTCTGCAGCCTTCGGCCGGATACGTTCCAAGCGAAGTCCGTATCATTCGCCGGCGGTTTGTCTTCCCTCTTTCCTCCTGCTCCTCCTCCTCCTGCTGCCGCGCACGTTGTGTTTTATGCGACCGCCGTAGTGCCGCCGCTCCCGCAAAGCGGTGAGAATCGGCTGGCCTTGTCTTGTTTTCTTTCGCCCAC